TATATATGCAAGCAGAGCTCTCATTGACTTCAGTTGCATTTGTGAGTGTTCAGCACAAATGTAAATCAGGCCACAGTGTTTCAAGGCGGGCATCCAGGAAATAAGTGTCATACAATTAGTGACCAATTCTGAAAATCTGGCTTTTGTGACTTATTTAGCATCCATCGCTCAGGAACTATTTGGCAGAGACAGGAATAGAAGCCAAGGCAGCATTAAACTGTCTTTAATTGTGAGACTCTCATTTCATTTCATGCAGTCTTCTGCCTCGTTTATTATACCTTTCAACTTCTGCAGTAAATGAAGCAGATGTCTTACAGATAACAGCATCCTTCACCAGATATAGCCATGATCCATCTGTGGAACAGCTCTGTCTTGTTCACTAAATGAGGCAGGTTCTCATAGTTTTTCATTATATAATATTTTTTTTCCCCATCTCAAAATGCACACAGGCAATATGGCTGTATTAAGGTAGAACAGGCAATCTTAATTCTTGCTGCGAAGGCCGTGGAAGCTGCCTACAATATTGTATTAATATTATACGTCCATCTATTTTTATTGTGATTTTACTGTTCTGCTGTAGCATTATAAGGGGTTAATTCAAGCTAGGGGGGAGGGGAAGGGAAACACAAGAAAAAGGATAATAGAGTCAGATACTCCATTACTGAAGCATAAAGAACAATGCAGAAGTCAGTCACTTTGAAGTTTTACGTCTATCCATGCTGAGTTTTTAATAGATTGAAATAGAAAGCCATGTGGGAAACCAGAACAAAGAACACTGAAGTGCTTTAAGAGAGTCCAAGAAAATCGGGTAAGAGGCAGAGATTGCTGGGGAGACTGAACCCCAGTTCCCAGAGATAGCAATATCAGGGATAAGCCAGGCCTGCTGAAACATCTAGGTAGGCTATTGATATGAGTAAATACTTTTTACTGTGCTTAAACCCTGTTTCTGTTACTACCCTACTATTGAGATTAAGCAATTCTTTGATTTTAAAAAGCTGTTTTGGTTCACTGGGAACTGTAATCAGTAGTAAATAAAAAAAGAAGACTGTCAGGTAGCTGAACCTGCTGATCAATCACAGTTGCACAGTGCACTGGAGGCTCAGACCCAGTTTCAGAATGGGAGGATTATGTGGTTTCATACTAGTGCAGGTGAAGGCAAGACCTTCATGTGAGGGGAGTACACCAGAAGAGTTGCATACAACTAGCCTAAAACTCAAACATCAAATGGCATCTTTCAACCAACTGCCTACCTAACTCCTACTTTACCCAGGCACCAGTCCTTACAATAGGCCAAGCTGCCAGCTTTGCCCCCTCATCAATACAGACCACATAATTACTCGACCAAATTAACACAGACTAACTATATCATCCAAGGTTCATTTACCTACACCTCTACTAATATCATATATGCCATCACCTGATTACAGTTCCTCTTGACTGGCTACATTGGACAGACAGAGTGATACCTGTGTGAGATTGAGGGGATGCCAATCTGACATCAAGTCCACAAATACACAAAAGTCCATGGCAGAACACTTTAAACTTCCTGGACTTTCTATCGCTGACCTCAGAGTAGCTGTTCTTACACAGCAAAGCTTTAAAAGCTGATTTGAATGTGAAATTGCAGAACAAGACTCATCCATTGACTGGATTGTGTTAAGTATGGTCTAAAAAGGGACTATGGATTCTTACCCCATTATCTTTATTGACCCCTTTGTCCCTATGGGTTTATTACTTGTTTGCCTCTCAGCACTGCCCCCTCTTCCCCACTTCCTTCCCTTTCTTGTCTTTTGTATTTAAATCACTCTATTTGGTAGCCTGCTCTGTGCATGTCCTTTCACAGCATCTGATTAAAGGAGCTCTTGCTCACAAAAGCTTATGAATCTCTGGTTCTGTTAGTTTATAAGGTGCACCTCTTCCCTGCCTGTAGCCCCAAACTGGGATGCTAGAATTTCCTACTTTTAAATGCTTGGCTTTAAAAGCCTGATAACTAGTTTTGTGTGTAATTTCCTAGAATTTAAAGGAAACTGTTGAAATTCTATCACAGCTCATCAGCGGAGTTGTAACTTTTTATATAAGTCACACATGTGCTGCCACTTGCGCTAATGGAGTAATTAATAGAATAATAGGTTGTTACCTGCCAGGGGGATTATTGCTGGCGGGAAATGAGACAATAATAGACAGACACATGAAACAGCCCATGTGTTTTGTCACTGGGCTTCACAGATATTTTCTGGCAGGAGGAGGACAAGATTTGGGCTCTTGCTCAGCATGGGAAAATTTCCATCCAAGTTTTACAAATGAAGTCTAAATGGGACCGGTTGGATTTTAACAATACTGTAGGCTGTGTTGCCATTCTCACTTATTATTTATTAGGCCCCTAGTGGATGCCTGACATACTTCAGAGTTTACAATTTTAAAAGATGACTGATGAAAATGCGATGGATGATAAGATGCAGAATACAGGTGATCGGGCTAATAATTAGTGTGCACTTTTTGATTTAAAAAAAAAAAAATTAAATGAGCCATTTTGTGTGGTTGCTGCAGAAATAAGGGCTGCTTGCAGATGTTTTTTTTGTTTTGTTTTGGTTTTTTTTTTAAACCAAACAAAACTGCACTTTACCGGAAGAAACAGCATGTTACTTTGACCTAGTTCTGTAGTGTCTATAGATTGGGCACTTCAGCAGGGCTTTTTGGCACCTTTAGCTAAAGCTGATTTAATTGGCTATTAGATGAAAGCTCCAAAAAAGCCTCACTAAAGCACCTGATCTATACGGATGTTGGGAGAGCCAGGTCCAACTAACATGCTACCTCTTTTGGGCATGCGCTGGGCTAGGCATGGGAGCACAAGTAAAGCTTTTTTGTGTGTGGTGTCTTTTTTTTTTTAAATGTCTGCAAGTAGCCAAGATGTTTACTTGACTCAGCAGAGGGAAACAGATTTTTGAAAGGTCAAGAATAGGGAAGCTGCAATGGAAGAAGGTAAAGAGATATCTGCAAGAGAAAACTATGCATATTAAGGCTGGACTGGAGCAGAGAAGATGGGGCAAAAACTTATTAGATTAGAAATAGAAAGTGTGTGACAGTATAACTCTTGTGGGCATGGACAGGAAGTATTAGTTTTATTTACAAAGGACCAGAAAAACAAGGGAATAACTCAAAATGAAGATGCGCAGTGTGACATAACTAAATCATCGGACAATGAATTATCTTGGCCCATACTGTAAGGATAGATTTGGAACCCTGTGAAGTTAGCATTAAAAAGATTTGCAGAACAAGGCTGTTGTCCTCAAAATGGACAAACTTAATGGCACAGAATGCAGGAGATGGAGATATCCGAGGTGATATGAAAGAAAAAGTAGTAGGGTTTAGCCTAAGCTTGGGTATACGGAAGAAAGAAATAGGAAAACATATTCCACTCCTGAGTAATAGTGAATCTCTACCTTCCCTTGGGCAACAGAGAAGCTGTCCCCCAAATAATGGCCTAAACCAAAACATCATTCTCTGTGAGTAAGCATTCAGTCTCTTTGGAAAGAGAATTGTCTTTCCTATTCATACCCAAATTTTGTTTCATTTGGGTAATCTACCTAGCTAGCTAAAGGTGCAATTCCCGCAAAACATGGTCCAGAAGGCAAGTCTGTAAAGACTCACTCAGATACTGAAATGGAGTTATGAGCTTGCTGAGAAGAAAAGTAAGACTCTTTCCCAGCTGTCCTTCCCAACTTTTTGGAGCTTAGAGGAGAGAAGTTTAATCCCTCTAGTGTGTCCCTCTGCTCTAAGACATGTTCAAGTAAAGCTAGCTAAACTGTCCCTGATAGATGTTCTTGGAAACTTCCATTGTCAGGAATTCCACAAACTGTCTTGGTGTGACCTCTTTCAGTGATTTAACTGTCCTTACTGAAATACTTTACTAATATCTAACCTGAATCTTCCCTGGTGCAAAAAAAAAAAAAAAAAAAAAAAAAAAAAAAGATTACTATTTGTTCAGTCCTTAGTGGACTTGGAGAGCAGTGATCCCCATTTCTTTTACATATTTGAAGGCTCTTACCATGTGCCCCCTCAGTCTTCTCTTCTCTAAAATTAAACAAACTTAATTCTTTTAATCTTTTCTCACAAGTGGTGTTTGCTAAAGCAATTGTTATTTTTGTTACTCACCTCTCAACTTTCTAATTTGTCTGTATCTTCCTTTAAAGTATGCCAGAAATTTGACATTTATTTTAATTAGAACAGTTCTTTATCTGAATCTTTAACCCTGCCTATATAAAATTAATTACTTGCCATTTTCAAGCATCACACAGTGATGGGAAATATGGGTTGGAAAGTATACTGTCTTACCTGATTACTTCCTTGCTCGTAACAGTGCCTTTCATAATTTTACCTTCGTTATTGTGACTCTAGGAGCCAAGTGGCAATGTTAAGTTTTTGTATGTCAGATAGTCTACTTCGTTCAATGGCATTGACAGTATTGTTGCTATTCATACTGAACAAGTTTCTTGGGAATAATTCTTTAGTTGGCAGCTAGAGAAGGTGGTATGGCTTTGCTGCAATATTGAACCACCTATGGAACTAGAGAGAGAAAGGGAACGGCCCAAGGAATTAAGAGATGTGGGAAATCTTGTTAATGGAAAGCCAATTACCAGATCAGAAAACTTCTGTTTTTTAGAAATTAGAACAGAATTTTACCTTTATCATCAAGGCGCAATGTTATATTACCACTAAAAATAAGTACATCCCTTCCTTGCTCAGAACATGTGTTCCCATGTATGGTTCGTAAAATAAGGAACAGGTAAAATCCTAAACACTCCATCTTGCTACTTAACCACATTCCATGGGGTTGTGGGAACCCGTAATACAGAGGTGGTGCTTGAAATACAAAAATTAATGTTCACGAACACCCAAGGAAAAAATGCTTTCACATTGTTCACTCTCTTAATCTTGAAATACCGTAGTAATCTTTGTGGTTTCATATAAGTAACTAAGTATTTCTAATTTTTCTTAAACAGCATCAGAACTTGGGTCTAAACTTGAAGATACTTTACAGTGTAATGATGGACCTTTCTCATGAGTTACAGGCAAGGCCATTTTTAACAAAATATCATTACAGTAAATTGTACGTATGCAATGATATAGTAAAGGAAAATAATTTTTGGTTTGTTTTTCTATTGAAATAATGCATATATGCAAACAAGACAAAAGGCCTCCTATGCTAAACCTTGTGTGATACTGAAGCCTGGCCAAAACTGCAGCATTATGGGTGTGTCTACACATGCCATTGGGAGTAGCAATAAACTCTGGAGCTTATTGCTCCCAGGAAGCTCCTGGGCATGCATCTGGCCATAGCAACGTGCTATAGTGAGGTAGTGACCGTGTTTGCCTACATGTGATCAGCAGCTACTTTGCTATAGTGGCACACTCCCTCATTATAGCGTGCTGCTACAGCAAAGTAGCAGCTAATAATAAGCTTGTGCCTGGCATACAATGCAGTATGGACTGCTACTGTGCCAAGCTTTAGTACTTCGAAGAGAAAGTACTAAAGCACAGTGCAGTAGCAATGTTGTCGTATGGGCACATGTAAACACACCCTGTGTGTGCGCCTGGATCGCAGCACACTGAGCTGAGTTGCAGTAGCCCCAGCTGGCAGGGAGTTTGGGGGGGTCCTTCCTGCTAGTCCAGAGCTGCTCCAGCTGGGTTTGACATGCTGCAGAGGGGCTGGCTTGGGGCACAAGGGTGCTTCAGTGTGAGGCTAGCCAGCAGGCAGTTCTGGTATTGAAGCACCGTCATGCCCTAGCTAGCCAGTCAGCATCTCCATGTGCACTGCTGCGCAGGAAAAAGCTCTCTAGCAGGGTAGTACTTGTATTGTATTTACAGGTACTACTTTTCTGTGGAGCTTATTAGTTTCTTGTGACCTAATAACAGGGGTTCCCAACCCCCGGGCTGCGGCCGGGTACCAGGCCACGAACGGTTGGCTGCTGAA